GTAATACACCCTATGCCTCAGTGAGGCAGTTCTGCAGGCTTGAGGTCCATGTCCACACACAGACATTGCTTTAAGTCAGGTAGGTCAGGCTGAACAGGAACTTTGAGGAGAAATGAAATAAATTTTTTTGGATGTGTTTTGGGTAGTCTCGTTTCTGTACAGACTGGTCAAGCCTCTTCTATGTTACAAACACACACTTATGTAGGAGATCCCAGAAGCAGTCATTTCTTCAAAGCACATGCCTCCAATAGGCCTTGAGGAAGGGGAACGGAGACGAGAGTTAGTGGATTGAGTGTAGTGTTTCCGATGGGCAGTTCCTGGTCACACTATCTGTGCTTTCAGTGGCTCCTTCTTTTGTATTTATGCTGAAAGAGCTTGAGCCGTCTTTACGACTGAAACATCCACAGTTGTAGGGATAATTCTTCCAACTCTTGGGAATAAAGGCTCTCATTGTGTGTTAGGAAGGTAATTCTGATCGTGGGGCAGCTAAGTCTCCACGCAGAATTCTGCACACCAGGGGGAGTTCATGCATATCGTCATTGTCACGATGCTTTGTCATATATTTAGTGCGATTGGGTAAATGTTTACTTTCTAGTAATCACCAATGTTCATCATTAGAAAGAACAGGTTTTTGGGTTTTTTTTTAGCTGAGCCAGCTCAGCTCAGCTCAGGCCGGGTATCGAACCGCTGTTGCTCAGAGCTCACACTCTTGAGTGAGCTCTTAACCAACTGAGCCACTCGGTAGGCCCTGAAAGAACAGTTTTTGAAAATAATGCGCTGAAATATGGGTATCACTGTCCTCGGGTTAGAAAGAAAAAATTGGGAGGATCTTTTCAGTGTTGTGGAGAAATTGTTTTTCCATTATATGGTTGTTGAACATTAGATGATGTATTACAGAATTGTACACTTGAAACCTATGTAACTTTACTAACCATTGTCACCCCAATAAACTTTAATAAAAAAAGAAAAAGTTTAAAACCAAGTAAAATGAACCCTCTCTTCCCCCCAAACCTCCTGGTTTTGGGATTTAAAAGACCAGACCGACTTTGGCTAAAATATGAAAACTGGTGTTTTGATTCATTTAGATTCCTTGCAAAAATTTAAAGACTATGATTAATCATTTATTTCTTATTATTCTAAATGTTATTTTAGAACAGTTAAACTGGAGAAATAATTGCATTAATCAAAATAACAGGAAATGAGAAAACGAATGGCAACCTAATTTGTCTCGTTGTTAGCTGGGGGTGTTACAGTGCCGACGATGGGGGAATCGCATCGGTCGGTGTATTTGGACAAACACATAATCTCTGTTCAGAACCTTCTAGGTTCTCAGCATCGCAGATCAGATTTCAAAATTCAGCTCATTTGTCTCCTAAAACCAAACATCTGAAAACACATCACCCATTTTTCTCTAAAAACACATCACCCATTTTTCTCTAAGTATAACGTACTACCGAAATTCATGACTATCACTAGTGATTTATCAGCAACGATCCACATTAACGTGCGCCCTGACTGCTGTGGCTTGTCGGGTCAAGGCCGTGGTCAGCAGGTGTGCTGTGTGGCGTCACTAAGCGATTAGCATCGCCCCACGTGTGCCTGATGCGAGAGCCTTGCTCCATAGACTGACCACCCCCTGGGGCTGCGGGGTCCCTGTGTGTCCCAGGGGGCAGGTTTCTCTTGTGTATATGCCATCGACCCCCACACATGAGCACCAACAGATTCCTTCCCCTTATGAAGACAGAAGCGGGAAGGGCAGACCTTGTAAAGCTCCAGAAGTCAATATCCACCCTTACGACATTCAAATACCTGAGAGAAGGTTTCTTTCCGCATTACTGAAAAGCCCACACTTCACACACCTGCAAAAAAGAGAAGCCACATTTTCTAAAAGCAGTCTTCTCATTTTATGATGACTCCTCCTTTGTAGGAGGAGAACAACAGCGTGTGTGTCTCCTAAATATCACGTCTCCACTTAATTTACCTGTTCCTGTGACTCCTCGGCTCCACAGCTGCGCTTCCCCCTTGCCTCATTTCTCAGGTCCATGTCATTCCTTTCTTACTGACCCTGTAGGGCTGCCGTGTCCAGCAGTGGAATGCTGGTCACAGTGGATAGAGTGAGAATGACCCTCTTCAAAAATGAGATGCTGTTTGAACACAACCCTTCAGTTATAAGGAGAAAGTAGGCACCTGAGCGGCTAGATTTAACAGCCTTGTTATTCAGGTTATCCAGATGTTCTAGCCCTTCTAAAATAAGTGTTTCTACAAGTTTTTGAGTCCTGCAGTTGAAAATGTCAGTCCTCTGTGGAGGGCATCCTCTTCCTCTTAGCTCTCTCATGGTCTGCTTTACTTGGCCAAGTGCAGGTGTGTGTTTCCTGGTCCACGGGCAGAGAAGCCCAGGTGATACCTGGGGGATGTAATCGTGTTGTGTATATGAAATCTAGACACACAACAACATGTGGTCATACACATCATCTGCACACTTCATAGTAGCACCGGGCCGCCTGCTTGCTACGGACCGCTACTTCCTGGAGCCTGCCAAGGCCAGCCACCTAACAACTAACAATAACTCCTGTAAACCAAAGACTGGTTCCCTTCCTTGATTGTATCTAGAACCGGTTCTCAGAGAGCCCTGTTCCCATCCTCCACGGCCTGACATCACTGTGCAAAAACGGACAGCCCCTGTCTCAGTTTACTGCAGTTCACCATCTGTGTAAGGAAGTTTTAGCCCATCTCTCATGCGGTTACTGCCTCCTGCATGTCATATAAACTGCTGCCTGTACCACTGTGCCCATCCCCAGCCCCCAAAGAATTTTGTGGACTGTCATTCGGAGGGCCACTGGATGGCCGCTGGTAGGTCTGGTAGCTGTCATGGCTAATTTTAAATAGGAATTTTCTGAAACTATTAATGAAAGCAAAGCACATAATTTGTTCTATCCACCAGCCCCCCGGCCCCCCTATCTGGGGTTCGTAAAGGCATGGCTAGAAACCAGCAAGAATTTTCCATGGAGGCGCTATTTTACGTGTGCGTGTTAATTTTGAGTGGTCGGTCTCATTTCATCAAGACCTCAGCTGAAGGTTAATGCAGTTAAGTAAGATTAATCTCGCCTGTTGTTTTGTCCTCGGACTGTAAACTCCGTTGTTCAAACAGCGATGCTTCAAATGTCATTTGCGAGCGTTCTCTAAAAGCTGCGGCTCACGTTGATTTTCATTCTTATCCTGCTGCTCGCTTGCCTTCGGAACGCCCCGTCTGTTCCCCCAACATGGTGATTAGTTTTGCAAACTGGAGAGCTCTCGCTCAGGCTCTGACAGACTGACTCTGTGAGAGCTGCACTTTCCCTTGTTTCACCCCCAAATTCAGCCTTGCTCTGGCATTGTCATCCACGTACAATCCCGCTTTGTAGTAGTTTTGCTTTCTGGAACCCCCCTCCCCCCCCAACCCGCGTTGCCATCTCTTGATCTTTTTCTCCAGAGCTGGTTCAGACACGAATTTGCCGTTCTTATACGTTAGGGCACTGTGAGAGGAGCCTGACGTTCCTCTGAATAAGGGAGGCGGTTGTGGAAAAGCTGCTTGGGGAGGCCGGGAGGCACGTTAGCAATGCCTTAGGCTCGTGTACAGTGAGTTACAGTGAAAGTCAGGCGTCTTCGCTGGCCTGACGAGGTTGCACCGTGAAGGTCATTGTTTGTGTTCTTGGGTGTTGATGAGAAAATTAATAGGAAAAATACACTTGGAAACCAAACGGCAGAAATGAGCTGTTTTGTTGTCTTCTTTTCTCATCCAGGGGAGAGACCATGCTAACACAGATACCGTGCAGACAGTGCCTCTCAGAAAGGGAACCTAGAGACCCGTTACCAGCGCACCCTGTGCCCTGTGACAGCCGCTAGCAGCCCCTCATGGATGTCCCAGCCGTGACCCTGCCCGCCCGGTGGAGCCAGCTGGAGCACCCCGACCCGACACGTCCAGGCCCGGAGCCGCCGTGCAGGCATGGAGCGAGTGTGACGGGCCCGGCCTCTTCTCGAACGTTTAGAAATAAATGAAGATGCTATGCTCTAGAATTTCATGTAGATACTCTGTATGCATTTATGTGCTCGTCACCCAGAGTCCCGTATTTCCTCCTAATAAACAGTGGTGTTGGCAGGCGCGGCAGCAGTCCCAGCCATCTGTGTTGTTGAAGACGAGTTGGAGACACTGGAAAAGATTCTTGTGTGGACTGGACAGAGTGCAGCTGCTCAGCACGGTGACAGAAGCCGCCGCCACCGGGCCGCAGGACTGTCCTGGTGGCGCCCGGCCTGGCCAGTGCTATTGCTCCGGCCCCTCCTGTCTCAGTGGGCGTGTCCGTGGAGAAAGGAAGACAGGAAGAAGCTGGCTCAGGTGCTGTGCAAACCAGGCTTGGTGCGGTAGGGCCGGTGACAGATCCTAACCCGTCCATGGTTCGTGGCGTCCCCGTCCCCTTGGGGGCCCTCCGCGCTCCCTGCGTGCGCCATCCATCCTTGGCACCGTGTGCCCCGTGGATCAGCAGAGGCAGCTCGGCTGCGGGAGTCTTGTGCTGGGCTTGGGAAGAGAGCTAGTGGAACGCTAAGAAACGCAGGCTTCTGTTTATTCTCAGGACCTTTTGTAACAGGGCTCCATCCTGCAAACTGCTCACAAAGGAAGACTGCCTGTCGCAACGTCGCCTGGCCGCTGTGCCCTCCCAGGCTGGCCCTGTGTCAGTCACGGCAGCAGAATCCCTGGGCGGGTTTGGGGACCCCTGATCACCAGGGTGCTGGGGCTCTGGAACCTTCTGCCCTCCTCCCCTCTCTCCCTGCACCACCCCAGCAAGCAGGTGTGTTTCCTCCGTGGGCCTGGCGCCCTCCACTGGACAAACACCTTTGTTCCCAGAGCGTGGAGGTCCCCAGGCCCCTGGGTGTGGGTGGTTCTATATACCTCTTCCTCAGTCACACAAATGCAAGCTTTTGTGGTGGGGGTTAAAGCCCGGAGCAAAGGATCTTAAGCCTTGCAGTGTACGCAGTGAAAATTGTATTCCACAGATATAAATATTTTCTTTTCCCAGTACCGTGACACTATGTGTGATGGTAATATTTCTGAGAGTTTCAGATTTTTGCACATATGATTTTATGCATTATCAAAAGTTACTGCTGCCTTGAATGAAAACGTTCTGTGAAATTTTTTGCAAGAGCTTTACTAGGTTTTTTTTAATTGTGAAATTTTGTAAAGGCAGGAAATGGATTAAAAGGAGCATGCTAAATATATTTTTCAAGAAAGCAATAATTTTACATGTACAGAAATTATCCTAACCTTTAATACTGGTGAGAGCAACAGTTTACTTAATGCAGTAATGGATTAGCGCAGGTTTTGTAGGAAATGGGCTTCTGATACAAAGACGTGTTTAAACACACACACACACACACACACACACACACCCTACAGTGTGGTTCTCTTGTTCTAATGATTTGTTGAATTATTATATTATTGTTGTTGATATTAGTTAATGTTTGGTTCTGGATTCTCCTTGTTACTGAGTTTAAATTACTTGATGGTTCAGGTTACTTTGCAACACTTGCAAACAATGCAAAGTAACTGGCTAGCTTATGTATACACATATACGCATATACACACATGTACGTATCACACCTACGTATATACACATATATATGTGTGTGTATAGCTCTAACGTTTTTACTTGTTTTTTCCTGATATCCTTACGTCAGATATGCGCCAGAGTGACCTGTCCTGTTGGCGTAATTAGGACTTGTCCCCTACAGATACTGTCGAGCGACTGTAATTGACTTCTGTTAAGTGCTTCTGAGCAAAGTTGCAGATACATTCCTCTGTCCACCTGAGAAATCCAAATGCCTTTCTGTTGACTTATGTTTGCTCAGTTTGATAGTTTGCCCTCTCCACCCCCCAGTGATGATTTCTGCATTTTCTGGCTTTTAGTTTCTTGGCTGAAAGTGAGCGGTGACCATTTAGGAGCACACAGGGGCTAGTGATTTAAGTCCCGTCTGTTTCTCTGTGTTTTAGTTATTAAAAGGAATTCTGTACCCAAAGTGACACGGCAGTGGCGTGTCCGTTCTTCCTGTTCCGGAAGTGGCCCGCAGAGCTGGGAGGCTCCTCTCCTGGGCGCCTGGTGGAGTTTCCAGCGCCCCGCTGGTAGAGGTGCGACCCAGTCAGTTTAAATGACCGAGAACTGCCGAGAGTGCAGGAACCAGGCATTTCCTTACTTAAACAGACGGGAGGGGACCCTCCCAGGACGCCCCCCTCCAAGACAGGGCTTTTTTGGGCCTGACTGTGGTTCCTTCCTGCCCCTGATCATCAGTATTGTATTGGTTTGTTAACGCGTTTATGTCAGTTCGACCATAGTATTTAATAGGATTTGTGTGTCCTTATTTATTTAGCAATATGTTTTGATTTGCTTTTTTTCAAATGATGATTTCCGCATGATCTCTCCTGTAAGTCACCTTCTGACTGTTACAGACTTCCTACTACCTCTAGCAATCTGCTGTCTCCTTGATTCTTAACAGGATTTTTACAGTGCTGGCGTCTAATGTAACTTAGACAATAAAGGGTTTGGTTGTCTCCACTGCAGCTCCTCCGTGTACCGCCCCCGCCCGCCTGCGCTGGCTTAGGCTCCTGCTGGGTGGCTGTCCTTGCCCTGTCTCCCCCGGCTCACGTCTCCTACTCATCGCGGAATTCAAGTAATGCACAAATAATGAGCTTGTAGAACTCTTTCAGGTTATTCACTCATATTCCTTAATTTGAAGAATGAACATTCAGTTTCTCTGAAAAATCCTCTGTTAGGCATCTTCTCTGGGAAATCATCCGCTGTCCTGTCACTCTTCTGCCTGGGAGGTCTTATGGCAATCGTGGATGGATAAGTTTCACCGTGGTCAAAAGAATACTGATTTTCAAGCCAAAAGGATTTTGCCTTTTTGGTTTTGAAAAGTATTAAATGCTTTAAGAGGTTCCCCCTAATAGTTATTTATTTTTTAAACCAAGGAAGACACTGGTTTCCTGAAAAGAAGGTTTTCATGGAAATTGCACTGCGAATGACATATGGCCACTTGGGATGATAAAGGAAGAGTGACTTTGCTGAGTATGTCAAGCGAGAGTCGAGCTCACATCTGGTCGCTCTGCCACGGGCTCTGTGACATTCTAGAAACATCTCCGTAAAGGCACATGCACAGGTAGGCTGGGGACTCAGCGCTCCGGCGAGGTGGACCATGGATGCAGCATTTGCCAGGATTTGCCTCCCCAGGGTGCAGGCCCGGGCCGCCGCACGTTCTTTCCACCGAGAGAAAGTGCCGCTCAGAGGACCAGTGTCTTCTGTCACAGAGAGTGACAGCGGTTCTTGGTCTGTGCCGGGAGGACAGTACACATCCCGGACTGTCATGGCCACATTCTCTTCACCCACATTCCTTCTTGAAAACAAGACGAGTTACCACCCCTGAAACCCAAAAGTTTTCAGAAATATACACCAAGGCGGACCGCGTTTGTACAGCTGTTCCCTTCCTCTCTGGGGTCGTCTCTGTGTCTGAAGTGCATGTGCTGCTTTTGGCTTTCCCGAGTGCTCATCGCAGAACAGTCTACTTACTGAGCAAAGACAGAAAAGCAGCGACAGGCCAGGGCTCCAAGCATCGTGTGCACGCAGCGTCGCTGCGATGACGGGGGGGGTATTCATTCTTCATCCATTTTGCTGATTATACTTTGAGGCAGTAAAATGCAAAAGACCATAGAATTTGTATTTCTTTTTTAAATACAATTTATAACATTATATTTTGTACTCTTTATATTAGAATTTGTAACTAGATTGATGTATTTAACTCTATTTCTGAAAAAAGAATTCAATGTTTCAGTTGTGTGATAAAATATTTAGATAAAACATATTCTATTGGAATTTGAAATCAATAAAAACATCTTGGAGTTCTTGAGATTTGTAAGACCTTTTTCCCCTACTTCGGGAGGTGGCTGAAATCCTCTGACTGCCTGTCTTCATCTGTGGTTTTTTATTCTTGTTGACTGAACACAAACCGAAGTGTAGTGCTCTTTATTTATTTAAGCGGAAGAGTTTTTAGGATGATTCACAAGATAGTTCATCTAAAAAGATGCCAAGATGGCCAGAGTGTTCCCTCCCCCCCCCAAATCGTTTGTGGACTCCAGGATATGTGCACACTGGTTTTTTTTTTTTAAGGGTGACTATGTATTTCTCATTTTTCACCCTGAGCACATCTCTTATTTTCACACCAAATACACACACTGCTCTTACACTGACATTATAAGCCACACACTGTGTCCTGGATTGGATGCACACCCAGATGAAATAATTGTGCCGGGGCCTTGGGTTGCAGAGGGGCCGGTGCTGTGCTCCGCTGATTAGATAGCAAAACCAGGACTTGGGGCCCTCAGCTGCACTAACAGAATTTTAATTTAAATAGATGACATGCATTTAAAGTTAAACAGTGTAACTCTGTCTCAATGGACAGGAGAAAGAAAGGGCGATGTAAGCACTTCAATGTGGCTTTCAAATTGCGCTGGGGGGCGGGGTTGGGACCAGAGGGCTGGACGTCAGTCAAATGCTGGCCTGTGCCTCGTCCGCCAGGCGCTAACCCGCCAGCGGTGCCTGGAGCGCCTCCCCTCCAGCCCCGGAATGAGAGCCTGCAGGTTTGTGGACTGCAGAGTGGACCTCGTTGCAGGTGAGGTTGTAGACGCAGTGGGTGACACCCTCTCCAGCTGCGTGACTGATTCTAATGAGCAGGTGGTGACACCAACCCATAATGGGGAGTGGCATTAAACTGAAAAGCTGGTGGCACTTGTGCTATGACCAAAACAACTCCAGGCCAAATCTCTGTGTGTCCCCTGATATGGGGACTTCCTTTCAGGTGACAGGCCTGTGATGACCCTGTGTTCAAACCCTAGGTATACACTTTCCCCAGTCTTCAGGGGTCCTGCAAGTGACCAGACTTCTTCCTCTAGGAAAGCAGCTTGCATGCTTCTTTGTCCACTCACTGGTCACCAAATAGCACATGACATGCCCTGTGAACCAGAGGTTGTCCCGGGCCATTGGGAACTAGGCAGAAGATGGTGATTGGATTTCCGCCGTGTCTCCTTGGTCACTTAGCGTGTGGGATGCAGGAGATGGGGGTGGCCACATGCACGTGGCCTGCCTGAGACCTAGGGATGCAGTGCTTCGTCATGATGTCACCTCTGTGTTCCCTTGTTACCTGTTTGGAAACAGTCATGCTGCATTTCTAATCTGCAATTCATGTTCTCAACCTTTTAGCAGGTAAGTTATTATTCAAGAGATTAGCCATGTTGTTCAAAGGAAATGTGCAATACCCTGGTCTTTGCCTCTGTGACAAGTCCGCGGATGGGCTTTCCTCACTGCCAGCTCATGCACAGGCCATAGGGGGACTTCCAGGCTGGGGAGAGCCTGCAGGAACGTGGGGGCATATGACAGTCACACACCCCTCCAGCCACTGTCCTTTATGGGGAGAGGAAGAGAGAGAGGAATGAAGATTGCGATGAGAAGGCTGTCTTCTTTCCCCCTTTTTCCAGTGCATGAAGATACTCCGTAGAGCCCCGCTCCAAGCCCTGCCGTGGGGATGAGGTCTGCTAAGGGGAGGGCATCGGCGTAAACCTTTAGCTTGGTTGCCGCCAGTGCCAATGTTTCAAAGGGCAAGAAGGGTCTCACCTCTGCACCCAGAGTTGTCACTAGAAGAGCAGCTTTCAGGTCACAAGACAGGTCATTCCCAGTTGACCTTGTGCCTCCCCAGCCCCCCTGTCATGCTCTGTTCAATTCTGGAATTACATTAAAGAGGGGTGAAGACAAACGGATGTTTCCAGGACAGGGTAACAGAAATGGGAAAGGGGTCTCTTAGGGGAGGGAGGCTCCACACAAGACAGGGTGGGCAGTGGTGCGGGGTCTGCAGTCCCCCACGAGAAACAGCAAGTCAAACGTGGGGGCAGGGGCTGCATCGCAGAGCCGTGGCCAGTGGGTGCAAGGTGCCAGCTGCCTTGGACTTCACACAGGACTCCTGAGGACCAGGCCCTGTGACAAGGGCGCCCTCTGCCCCTGGAAGCGACAAGCTTCCGGGCCCTGGGGAGGCCGAGCAGAAGTCTGATGCCCCTTTCTGAGGAAGTCATTGTCCTTGCACAGACAGGCGAGTTGCAGCCAGATGGACATGCCAGCCGTGCCCCATCGAAAGATTCCAGGCTTCTTGGAAATTGTAGGAGTCGTACAGAAAGGCTTTCTCGTTATAAGTTCAACAAATTCTGGGTGCCTGCCACCGCTGAGTACAACTCTAGGTACCGGGGGACAAAATGGACAGATGGAGCCCTGTCCTTGGTGCTCCAATGGGGGAGGAAGGCAGACACCACAGCAGGCTCAAATCCAGTGGACACAGGCTGTAGGGAAGTGGCTGGTGGACACTTGGCGTCCACTTAGGGGGAGAGGTCAGGGATAATAAAATCACCCCAATGCCCACATGTCACCAAGTCCAGGGGCCACCGGCCTGGACCTTCTGAGACAATTTCATTTCATAAAATGATTGGGGTAATGGCTTACAATTAGAACAATTTGCACCTGAAACCAATCCTTACTTGACTTGGATAATCTAGAAGAAGATCTTGATACGGGTGAGAAAAGTGACATGTGAACTTCCGCGAGGAAAAGCCTACGGAAATGAGCTTTGGGAAATTCCCCGCAGTGCATTCAGAACATATTGTGAGTTGTCAAATCTGACAGAGGAAAGGGACCCAGATCATTGTCAATTATTCCTTGATGACATTAACTCAAAGTGAGGCTTCAGGCAATGAGATTAACAACAGTGTATCAGCAGGCAAGCTACTGTGACAAAAGCCACACTACAGAATAGCTACATTGTGTGGAGTCGTGCGCTCTTCCCGAGCTCCAGTGTGTACCTGTCGTCATTAACATTCAAAGAGCTAGGGAACAGGCAGGGGGGACAGTCAGTGGTCAAGGGGAAAGCTCAAACATGCAACATAAGAGGTGGGAGCTTTTAGTTAAGACGAAGGCCAGGGAGGACCTGGCCACACTGCGGACTCGGACAGTGAAGTGTCTTAGTCGAGGTCCACGTGGTAACCTTTCAGTCTCAAGAGGTACATTCAGAACAGCAACAGAAAGCTGACGTGTAGAAGGACTGCTGTGTGCCAGGAACCAGGGTAGATGTTGTCCTCCAGCCGTGTCATCCACGTCTCACAGCTCGCTTCCAACGAGGCAGTCTTAACTCATTTTACAGATGACAAAAATAGCAGATCAGAGACGGGCAACTTACCCAAAGGGACACAGCCAGACACTTGGGGACACACCACTGTGGTTGATGGTTCAACTTGCCCCCCCGCCGTCTTGTTCTGCCTCAACGCGGTGCATGCCGGGCAGTAATGAAGAAGGTGTGTGACATGTTACTGCTCCCAAAGCACTCAGACAGCCACTGTCCTGTGGACGATGGCCGCGGCCCAGCAAGGTGAGGGGTGCAGACGCTGTTGCTCCCACTCAAGAGATGGACGGCGGACCGTCATGGATCAGAGCGAGACGTCTGGCGCTTCTGAGCTCTTCTCTCAGAGCCGTCAAAGTTTCGTCGACCTTCTGTAAGTTAAGAGTGAACAATACACGGGGACAAAAAACAGATTTCTGAAGACCTGGGTGTGAGCTCCCGGTGTGCACGGAGCCTGTTAGCCAGCTTCTCCCAGAGCCGGCCTGCCCCTCACGCTCGACACGTTCTCTTCCCAAGGAAACGCCGGGCAAAAGCTTCCTTGGGTCCTCTGGTCCGTCCCCATCTACTGTGCCTTGTCCTGGCATTTCAAGTCAGTCTTCCTAAAAAAGTGGTCTGTGGTCACTTTCTCCCTCCCGTTTCTAGATTTGAAGACCACCACCTGCTTTACGGAAATGTCTCATGTTAAGACTCTCAAGGACCTTAAAGTTGAACATCGTAATGATTCTTCCCTTTATTCTTATTCTGCGTTTTAACTTTTCTCTATTGAAAACCACACACACACACACACACACACACACACACACACACACACTGACCCATATATTCTTCTTCATCCAGATTCAACAAGTACATTTTGCCAAGTTTTGTTGCTACCTTTCACTTTGTTGCTATGGTGGCTTTGATTTGAGTGTTTTAAGTAATTCCCAGCCATCACGACAGTTCAACCAGAGCCACTTCAGTGTGCATCTCCGAGCGCTACGCCTTTTGAAAAACACACCAGGTCTGTCGTCTTCCTTGTATTCCTTGATCTCCCCATGGAATTTCTTCCCCAGCCTCCTTCCTCGCCGGGTTTCCTGTCAGCTGCCGTTTGGCCCTCCGCTCCAGTTTCTCCTTTGCATGGCACTCTCCCTCTGTCCACCCACGGCTGGGACCCAGGTCGTCTCCGTCCACGGTGGGTCCTTATCCACACTCCGCGTGGCCCCAGCTCTGACAGAGAATGTCGGACGCAGCACCTTTCCTCAGGTCTCACTCTGGAGAACCCACCTCTCTAATGGCACAGCCATCTACTCCCGGAGCCGCCAGGGCTGGAAGTGGCTTGTTCTGACTTCTCAGCCACACACCTGTCCGCTCGGAGGGGCAGGAGGGCCTCTCCCTCCACCCACTGCTCCAGCCTCAGTGTCCCTCTTCGTGTGCCGTGGGGATGACACACAAATGTAAGCTGAAATTACCTCTGAGAAATTGACTTGAGTTACAGTGTTTTTTGAGCCCCCATAATATTGTCATTGAGTCACATGATCTCTGTGTAGCAGCTTTTCTTTTTAATAGTGTTGCATTTATGAATCAGAAAGTTCCCATTACTTATCTGACGCACTGAAACGTGACTCAGTTTCCCCTGTTCAATAACCTTTTTGATGAGCAAACATAGT